TCTCTCTCTCTCTCTCTGTCTTTTGGTGCATTTCTGGGATATCTATTAGTTGCACTGCCCCAGGGTGAATTTAGGATTGCCTGTTAATAAAATTGGCCTTCTAGTCAGATTACCTGGTTTCGAAATCTGGTTTCAGCGTTTCCTAGCTGTATGACCATTGGCAAGTTACTGATCTTTGAGTCTCTGTTTCCCCACTTGTCGAATGGGGAAACTTACATGTGTTAACTGAGTTGATCCTCACATTAACCCAGGAAAGACATGCTGTTCTTCACGCTACACACGTGGGAAAACCGAGACACACAGAGTTCACGGAGCTTGCCCATGGTTACACAGCTAGGAAGTGGTGCAGCCCAGGGACTTGAACCAGGCTGTCTGGATGGCCCCAATGCTGTGCCCTTCCCCATTCTGCTCAACTGCATAGTGCTCTGGACACGCTTCAGTATTTGTGAATGAATTGTGAGAAAAGGAGATCTTGGTGGTTGGTCTGACTCATTCCTCCTCTCTCTGTCCCCCATTTTTTTCTCTTTGATTAAGCATTATTGCAGAAGGGCAACCAATTTCCTATTGGGAGCATTTGTTGTTATTGTTCTTGTCAAGGAAAATAATTTGGACTTCTCTGGCTTAAACTTCGTGGCTAAGTAACATAGTCATATTTTTTTCAAATATTTAACCACTCATATCTCTCTGGTGGTGTAGTGCCTGAGGCTAACCAGAAGGTTGGTGGTTCAAACCGACCAGCCACTTCTCAGAAGGAAGATTGGGTGATCTACTTCCATAGAGATACCACCTCAGAAACCCAAGGAGGGGTCGCTATGGGTCGGAATCGACTCAATAGCAGTGAGCTTGCTTTTTTCTTTTTTTATCTCTGCCCTGTAGGGTTGCTGTGAGTCGGAATTGACTCGATAGTAGTGGGTTTTGATTTTGATCTCCTATTGGGAGACCCTGGGTGTTGCAAAAGGTGAGCACGCTCAGCTGTGAACTGAACGGTTGGAAGTTCGAGGCCACGCAGAGGCCACTCGGAAGAAAGGCATGGCAATCTCCGTCCCAAAAACCCACCATTGAAAACCCTGCGGAGCACAGTTGCACTCTGACACACGTGGGGTCTCCAGGAGACAGAGTCGACTGGACGGTAACTGGTCCTGGGCTCCCCACTTGCTTGCTGTCTCTCATGCATCTTTGTCCTTGTCTCTGGTTCTGCAGGTGACAGTGGGAGACATTGTAAAGGCTGTCAACGGGCAGTATCTTCCAGCAGACATGATCCTACTCTCCTCCAGGTGAGGTGTGCCAGTGGGCACCATTTTTCAAATAAACGTTAAGCACCATAATGCACTAAATGACAACTGAGCAGTGTCTCCACCTTTTCCCTTTTTCTCTCTGAGATGCCATCCTTCTTTCCAGTCCTGTTCTTTCATTTGCGTCCTCCTCCTGTGCCCCGTAGTCAACTTTCTCCTCTTCATTCCTTTGAACATTTTCTGATGCTTTTACCTTTATTGCCTCATTTCAGTCTCATGGCTGTTCTGGTGCTATTCCTCATTTATAGGGAAAATAATTCAAGAGCAGTTGAGTGGTACATTCAGTAACATCCAGGTTACAGCACAGCCCACACTTCAGCCATGTTTCCTGATGGTGCAGCCAGCAGTCTTTCCCTTGAAAGTCAATGCCTCCTGCCTCCCCAGTGTTCAGAGTACGCCAGGTGTTTTCTCAGAGCAGCTGTGACCTGTGGACTGTGTTTCCTCTTCATTACTCCATGTGTTGCTTCTTCTCTACGCAAGTATCCTTTACACATTCTCTGGGTAGTTTTGTTTTAGAAAGGTATTATTACTCAGGTATTACAGTTTAATGAACAATGCAGTCCTTGACTTCTCCTTAGGGGTAACTTGACACAAGAAGTATATATCAAAGAAAGAAAGACAAAGTTAGAATAAGAAGCTTCTACTCTTCAGTTCAAGATTCAATTATATGATATTAAAGCTACAGGTTCCCCTAGTTAGATGCTGTTGAGAGTCCCAGATACTCAAGTTGTTTGCATTTTCTTTGATTGCAGGCAGCGTTTCTTGTGTTGGACTTGATCACTCATTAGATTTTTAAGCCTTAGCTTTACTTTTCTGCTTGAGATGAGAGATTTGAAAATAGAAACTCAGGATAGAAGGGGTCAAAGCACCATGGAAACATCAGGCAGAACTCAGGTTTGTCCCTAGTGATTGGTAACAAAGAAACTTTTATTAAAAATAATAGAATATTACCAGGTTATGAAATGGCCAATTTACATACAACCTCTAGTTAAGAACCAACCCCCATAAAGCCTACTATTTTAAAAATTCGAGGTACATACTGTGGTTCGTAGTAACAAATGAGCTGTACTTTGCAACGTGCATCACAACACTCCTATTACATGTGCTATCCTGAGAACAGAAGAACTAGATGGTGCCCGGCCACCACTGTGACTGTTCTAATCAGGAGCGTAATTGATGAATCCTGATAGAACGAGAGAAATAATCCAGGCCTACTGGACTGGTTGAGATGGGAGGAGCTCCCTGAGACTATTGCACTGAGCTATGCTTCAGTACTTGAACCAAAACTAACCCCTCTTCCCCTTGTAATATAATAATGTATTAGCTAAAAATTAATGAATCTCACCTGTAAGTATTGTGCTCCTTTAAGATATCACCTGCTGTTGTTAGGTCTGTGGAGTCAGTTTTGAGCAACCCTCTGTGTAACAGAACGCAATACTGCCTGGTCCTGCACCATCCTCACAATCGTTGCTATGTTTGAGCCCATTGTTGCAGCCATTGTGTCAGTCCCTATCATTGAGGGCCTTCCTCTTTCTCACTGATCCTCTGCTTTACTGGGCATGATGTCCTTCTCCAGGAACTGATCTTCTCTATAACATGGCCAAAATATATGAGATGAAGTCTCACCATTCTTGCGTCTAAGGAGCATTCTGGCTCTACTTCTTCCAAGATAGATTTGTTTATTTTTCTGGGATTCCATGGTATACAGGCAGTCCCCAGATTACAGAATGTCCAACCTACATACAACCTTTGGTTAAGAACCAACCCCCATAAAGCTTCTTGTTATGTGCTGTCGAATTGGACCCAACTCATAGCGACCCCTCCTTGAGTTTCTGAGGCAGTATCACTACGGAAGTAGATTGCCCAACCTTCCTTCCAAGGAGTGGCTGGTGGGTTTGAACCGCCAGCCTTCTGGTTAGCAGTCAAGTGCCTTAGGCACTACACTACCAGAGCTTATTATATTAAAAATCTGAGGTATATACAGTGGTTCATAATAACAGATGGGCTCTACTTTGCAACGTGCATCAAATATTCCTGTTACTGCATTGTTATGTTAATGATGTTTTAGTGTATCTGGACATGTTTCTTTAATGTTTTTTATGCATGAAAAGGTACACTAAATACTATATACTAAGACAAACATTTGACTGACGTTAGATAATGAACCACACCTGTCTAAATTATGTACAAATTTGACTTAAAGACAAATTTAGGAATAGAACTCATTCATAATCCGGGGACTACCTGTGTTCAAAATTCTTTGCCAACACTATAATTCAAATATATCAGTTCTTCCACCTGTCCACGATGGGTGATTCTGTTGGCATTTGAAATGCCCGTGGCTTACCCTGCAGTCTCACAGCCACACAAAGGCCACCATGGTATGATGCACTGACGGGCGAGTGATGGAATTCTTCTTCAGTCTTCCTTGTTTATTGTCCAGCATTTGTGTATGTATGAGGAGATGGGGGAAAAAATCACCTATATGAGACCAACTAGTCAACAATGATTTTAAAACAAAGATCAGAATGTAAGGGAGGCAGGGAAACTAAATTAATAGAAATGGGACAACCAGAATGGAAATACCAAAGATGTTTATACATTGTGAAGAATGTAACCAATGACACTGAACAACTTGCATAGAAATAATTGAATGGGACCTAAATTGATATGTTAACCTTCACTGAAAACACAATAAAATTTTATTAAAAATATTAAAATATTCATAACTTGATAGTAAGGGGTATGAGTCTTAGTTTTAGCACAGGATTGTTTTGTCTGAATTGCCATCATGTTTTCAGAATGCTCGATATTAATGTTTGTGTGCTGAGACCCTTATCCCATTTGATCTTTCCAACAGCCCTTGATGTCCTTATGTTATATGTGAGAAAACCAAGGTGCCGACAGATTGAATGACTTGCCAAGACCACATAGCAGATCTGGGTAGAGCTTGGGGATGTTGATGTAGCCAGTGTGACTGGGATTGGCAAGTCCATCTTCTCAACCACTAACTATGCTACCTGTATGCAGAGATTAGAAGTATGACTACTATATCTGCTATGCTTATTTTTGTTTTTAGGATTTTCTATTCTCAATATTAGGTGTTTTGATTTAAAAGTTGTCTTTTGACATAGTAAAAAACGTCATGAAGCAAATGCTTGTTTAACCTTTGCCCTGATCCCTTAACTTCTCTGGCTGTAATTTTCTTCAAAAGATGAGTATGTACTGTCTGGTCTGGGACGTCTCTTTTGGTCAGATGTCTCCCTTGAAAGAAGACTGACCCTCAGGTTTTAGGGATCACCCTGAACCCAACAGTTGGGTCTTAATTGAAACATGAGGTATTTCAGACTACATGCCCCTCTCCATCTATCCGCCATTATTTCTGCCATCTTGAGTCTAGCATCTCCCCATCCCTGTAGGCCCTAATGGGGGCCTGTAAGATTAGATCATTTGGGCAGACAGCTCTATATTGGTGTGGAGCCCCAAAGCTGAATGTTCATCTGCCTTTTAAACCAATCACCCCTTACTAACGTCATTGTAGGTAACTATTTATTTTGAAGGGCCAGTCAACAGACCTAGTTTCCATCATGGAGACCTTATGAGCTGTGAATTTTGTAGCAAAGTTCTTATTAAACTTTGGCTCTCTTTTCTTTTTTTCTCTCTCTCTGTAGTGAACCTCAGGCAATGTGTTATGTCGAAACAGCTAACCTAGATGGGGAGACGAACCTTAAAATACGCCAGGTAAAGTCACCTTCTTATGTTTAGTAGTGTTGTGCAGGTTAAATTCCAACCATGGACCTCGCATGTACCAATTAATATTTTTCCTAGAGGAAAACACGTGCTACCATGAAAGGTAATGCTTTCACCCTAATGGGATCTATGAGAACAAAGTGGCTCTTATGAGGAGAAGAACTAGTTGAGAGGACATCAGAGCTGCAAGGAGTGACATCATTAAAATGTAGACCATGAGGGACATCACAACTTGATTTGTATCTCATTTAGCTCAGTGCCTGCTCATTTATGAGCAGGTAGGAGCTCTGGTGGTGTAGTGGTTAAGGCATTTGGCTGCTAACCAAAAGGTCAGTGGTTCTAACCCACCAGCTGATCCACGGAAGAAAGATGAGGCTGTCTGCTTTTGTAAACATTTATGGCCTTGGAAACCCAATGGGTGTTGCTATGAGTTGGAATCACTCGATGTCAGTGAGTTGTTTTTTTATTTTTTTTTTGAGAGCCGGGTGGTGAGAAAAGGCCCGGATCTATAGTGAACAGAAGAGAAGGAATAGCCATGCTCTGGGTGCCTTACCTTGCATTGTTGTATCATTTGTGGTTGTAATTCTACAGAGAGTAAGTTCAGCACAATTTTTTCCTGCCTTAAATAAAGCTGTTGGTGACGTAGTGCCTAAGGCATTTGACTGCTAACCAGAAGGCTGGCGATTCAAACCTACCAGCCACTCCTTGGAAGGAAGCTGGGGCAATCTACTTCTGTAGAGATCCCACCTTGGAAACCGAAGGAGGGGTTGCTATAAGTCGCATCTGACTTGAGGGCAGTGAGTTTTGTTTGAGTTACCATATATTTTAATTTGAGAATAAGAAAATAGTCTTTCATGTGTAACAAATTTTCATCATGTTGACATTGAAGGATACTTTTTCTGAAACATCAAGTTTAATTGGATAGTGTTGTTGATACTTCTTTCTTTTCTACCTTAGATGTTTGATTTGACATTTCTTTTTTTTTTCCTGTTCAAAGAAGATTTGCCAAGGGCAAGATACAGTAAAGTCTTAAAGGGGCATTTCTCTCTACTTTTCTGACCAGTGTAGCGTACAGCTAATAGAGAAAGCTTTTGGCGAGATGTTTGAATACATTAATTACTATGTAAACATGGGAGTTTCCAGAAATAATGGAATCTTCATTTTCTGCCTCACCGAGTCATTAGGGAAGTTTTGTATTAGATCTCTGTGGCAGAGTCCACTGGTGAAGTGTGTCTTAAGGTGCAGAAAGTTTGTTTGCCATGTTAGATGATTGGTTTTCCTTCTTATTTTCTGATAAGGCATTGGCATACTGAACGTGGTCCCCCAAGCAGTGAAAATTGTTCTCAGTTTTCTCTTGTGGTTGATGTTCTAGGGTTTGACTCATACCGCTGACATGCAAACAAGGGAAGTGTTGATGAAGTTGTCTGGCACCATTGAATGTGAAGGGCCCAATCGCCACCTGTATGACTTCACTGGAAACCTTCACCTAGACGGGAAAAGGTACCGCTTTTACTTTCTTGTCTTTTTTCCCTCCCTACTGTGACTAAGAAATACTGGAGTTTAGAGAATGAAAGGTGGTTTTCTGGTTTCAGATTATTTTTAAATAGTGAGATTTGTTCCTCTTCAGCTTAGACATGAGAACCTGAGTTTTTCTTGAAACACCGTTTCAATCAATTTCAACCTCCCTTTGAATGGAAGGAAAGGACTTCTGACTTTTGACAAGAAGAGAGCTTGCAGATCTTACTTAAGGTTCTAAGCATGTGGCCTGTTCTTTCCCCTGAGCAAGGAGAAGGGCTGGGCTGCATATAACATTGTCCACAGAAGCGAAAGTTAGGTTTCTGAGGTGTTTGCAAGCTAACAGACTATGAGAAGAATATCTCGTTTTTCTTGGCAGTTATCTACCAAGTAGCATTTGTCTGTTTTGGGAGGAAGTTAAATGAAACGACAAGTGATTACACTTCAATTACAATAATCAGTGTCCATTGTCTGTATCCTGTCGTCTTTGTCCTCTTGGCATTTGTTTCATTGTTTGAGAGTCATCTCTTGTCATTGTGTTGGGATGTGGTTTCCTATTTTCTGCCCTTCTTTTATTAGTTTGCCTCTTACCAGTGCCCTCCAAAGGCCGGCAGGCTGGGGAGGGCCTGGTCCTGGGAACCCACCCCCAGTAAATTTGACAACTACGAGTGGGATTGCGTTCTTGGTTTTCATTTACTATGTATAGCCATCTGTAGGCTTCCCATTTTGAATTTCTAAATTATCATTCAGGTGTTTACTTAAGTCATTGCCATCCTTGACAATTTGATATTACAGGTTTATCCTCCCTTTTTTTCCACTCCCCACCTTTTAATAATATATAAGACAAACTGGGTTTCCCAAAGGGGTAAGTTTCTGCTTGTTGTTTTAGCAAATTTCTTCTGTGCTGAGTCTTGAGTTTTGTAACAGGGCTAGAAGAGACATGGTTCCCACTAACATTTGATAAAATACAAAACCCAAACCCAGAACAACAACAACAAAACAAAACAAAACAAAAAGACCCAAGATTTTCTGCAGTGAGAAATGGATAGGAAACTTTTTTTTTTTTCTTTTTCAATCCAAAGTTAACCTTGATTGACCTTTGGGTGTCAGTGAAGTAGTTCAAGTTTGACTAAAGGGAGTATTTGATTTATTGTGGGTTTATGTTTAAGGGGAGAGCGTATTCTCATTTGCCAGACTTTCATTAAATATAAATGTTGTTTCTTATTTTTAGCCCTGTTGCCCTTGGGCCTGACCAGATCTTATTAAGAGGTACACAGCTTAGAAATACTCAGTGGGTCTTTGGCATAGTTGTTTATACTGGACACGACACCAAACTCATGCAGGTAAAACATTTCTGTGCTGCAAAGCAATACTGATTATAGTATTTTTTGTCTGTTTGTTTTTTCACCTGTTCTTATTGAGTAGAAGGTGGAAAATGCAAGTGTTATGTTTAGGAAACTCACGTTTTTCATGAATGTAAATTTGGAAAGGAACTGCCTTTATTTTAGAGCCTAAGGTAGTTTTTTTTCTGGATTTCTATAATATTTTCAGATATTTATTACAGATTATCTGAAATATAAAGATGGTCTTTGTCTTCTCGATTTAGGGAAATAATCAGTTCTAACATTTTTTTCCTTCTGGAACTGAACAGGTTTAGTTCTAAATATTTTTCTCTACTTTTCCTTCTTACTCATTAATTTAGATTTTGACAGTACCTTGTTTTATTTAAATGAATTCTAGATAATTTAAAATGAATTATTTTTGAATTAATGTTTATTCTTTATACAAAACCAAAACCAAACTCACTGCCGTCGAGTTGATCCGACTCATAGCGACCTCTCCTTGGGTTTCCAAGACAGTATCACTACGGAAGTAGATTGCCCAACATTCCTTCCAAGGGTGGCTGGTGGGTTTGAACCTCCAGCCTTCTGGTTAGCAGTGAAGTGCCTTAGGCGCTACACCACCAGAGCTTCCTTTATGGACCAAAGAAAAAATATTAAGTTGAAATGACTTTGCTCATTCTTTCTGCTACTGTGTCTTGTTATTTATAAGATGTATAATATTTTATAATATTATATATAACATTATAAATACAGATAACATTATAAAATTATATTATATAGAACACAAAATATGATTTATAGCCTACAATTATATTTTGACATATTTTGCCAGACAGCTTTTAAAATTCTATATAAATCAGTTTCCTTTTGTGTCATTTCTTACATGTTTTTTTTGTATCATTCGGCATTAAATTTTGGACTAAAGCAAAACAAAACCCACTGTCATAGAGTTGATTCCTACTCATAGTGACTCCCATTGTGTTTCTAAGGAGGTAAAGCTTTATAAAAATAGATTACCTCATCTTCCTTCCATGGAGCAGCTGGTGGGATTGAACTGACAACTTTTTGGCAGTGGCCCACCGGAGCACCTTAAATTTTGGACTTGTTGTTGTTATGTGTTGTTACGTTGGATCTGACTCATAGCATCCCCTACTTGGGTTTCTGAGGCAGTATCACTACAGAAGTAGATTGCCCAA